GTCTAATTGGATTGATCGTGGTACTCTTTATAGATGCCTTGTGTACCAAGAAAGATACTCCTTGTCAAACAACTAGGATAGTGTTTTTCCGTGCATACTTCGGTCGGTCAGCTGATTACCATGCGTGATAGACGATTCGTTCTTAAATATTGATTTCGTTTTAATTGTAAACAAAATCTACATTATAAAATTAAAGATAAAAGGAAAATAAAATAAGCATATCTTCATCCTTTATACGATGTGTCCCTTCAGATCTTTGACGATCATGACTCTCCACAATTTCCTGTCCTTTGTAGCTCTTAATAAATTTTGTCTTTTTGTTATCTCTCCTAAAGGTTTTTACGCCATTCATTTACGCAAGCTCACTAAGTATTGTTTTCTTCTAAGCTTTGCTTTCTTCTGTCCCTCTTGTCGCCAATCTGTCCTGTGAGTATCAAATTTTCCAAGCCCTCTTTCCTCATTATATGCTCTAGAAATTTCAACTGTCTCTTCTTGACGTTATATATAAATGTCCTTTTTGATTCTATTTTCTCTAACATTTCGTCGTTGTTCACATGTTCGGTTCGTAGTATCCTCAGCATCCTCTTGTATAACTATATTTCTGTTGTTTCAAGTCTCTTTTTCATCTGTATGGAGATTGTCCATCATTCTCTGCATTATAAAAGGATTGATATTACATAACACTTCATTACTTCATATTTTTTATTTGGTTTCTTAATACGTTGCTTACCTTTAGAAAGGCACCTTTCGCTATCCCAATGCAGTTACAGATTTCGGTGTCGTATTTTCCGTCCTCTGATATTTAAATTTTTGAACTTGTTTGCTTTTTTTTAATTTCCAATTTGTAATTTGTATGAGAGGCTGTTCCTTTTGCTAACAACCCTGCAGTCTCACTTCTACAATTTATGTTTTTCCTTTGATCTCGCTTTCCTTCACTAGCTTCAAGTGGCTTTCTTCTAGTTTCTTTTCTGTATCTGCTATCAAGATTGTATCATCTGTATAGATTCCTAACTTTGATATTTTCTTACAGTATGATTCTCCTTGATGCATAGGTGTTCTTCTGCTGCCACTAGTTTCCTCCTCCGTAGGAGATTTCCAGCATTCACTGCCATATAAGAGGCAACCAACGAAATCTTTCTATTTTTTAGCACCTTGCTTAGCTTTTGGAATGTTATATATATATATATATATATATATATATATATATATATATATATATATATATTGATGTATGTTTTCATTAAATAATATAGACAAGTGTTGTCTATTTATTTTATGTAAATTCTTTTCATATCGTCTGATAAGCTTAATGACATTATCATTAAAAGAAGAAAGAAAATCACCATATTGATACATATTTTTTTAATCCAATCTATGAGCTGCGTTTCGATTTTCGCTTCCAGCGTCTTATATGCACGAGTTTGTCGTTGCTTGGAAATCTTCCAGGTAAACAGAAACAGACTATCATTATTGTTTTGTCCGTGTATTGCTTAATATATTGTAATGTAAATGTCATCTTTGATAATGGCTGATGTAAGCCGAACGCTTAGATTTTCTTTCTTCTTTTAATAATAATGCTATTAAGCTTATCAGGCGATATGAAAAGAATTTACATAAAATAAATAGACAAAACTTTTCTATATTATTTAATGAAGCATGCATCAATGAAAAAATGCTGCCTAAATACACACTATATATATATATATATATATATATATATATAATTCGGGAAAGGCAAAATTTAGGATTTCATTACAACAGAAAACCGCTCCTGCATTTTGAGTGTTGAAATCTTTGCACCAAGTTGTGACTATTTTTCGCCTATTTTATTTACGAGAATTATGCATGCAGGAATAGGATTTTCTTTGTTCTTATCGTTTTATTTACATCCAATTATTCAAAAAATAAGGAAACATCGAAGATTCTTGTAAATACTTACCTCTGGAGTGGCCAGTTACTGATTGGTATTAGAACCAGGAATAAGTAATGTCCATATTTTTGGAAAAAAAATTTCCGCTGATCACCGCTCAAAGAACAATTGATGATACCTGGCGTTTTAAGGCTAAAACAGAAATATTTTTCCATGTTTTTTTCTTTGTCTTTTTTTTCCAGACATTCCAGCTTAACGAAGGTAGCAGAATTGCATGGATGAACGGAAAACCACCTGTTGACACGCCACCTTGCGGATACTATAATGAAAAATGCCAAGTGCCAAAAGGTAAGAATATGGCTTCTTATTGGAATATCATTTTACACTCCCTATAGAACATACGTAATCACATTAATGCTTTTCTTCGGAATGATACGACAAGCCTGAGAACGACTTCTGTCGGAATTTTCACCCTTGCAAATGGTTTTTAAATGTCAAACCTCATTTTTTTCCTTCGAAGAGGTTCATATTATTTCTTGTAATGTAACTCACTGCGTCAGAGTATTTCTTTAGATACTGCAAAATGATGAGTGATATCTGTAGCAAACATGAGAACTTAGTAAACAATGCAAACTTTGTTATGACGCCATATTCAAAGTCGTTTGAGGGCGCATTTAATTCCTTACTGATTTTTTTCCAAAGCTAAAATAAAATTGATTTAGTCGTTCACCTATTCTTATCTCTCTCTAACAGCCCCCGAGTGCCAGGATCAAAATAACTGGCAGATAAAAGAGTTAGCTTTATGCCATTCCCATTTGGATTAGTATAAAAAAAAGGACACTTATATATAGCATCGGAAAGCAACGGTTGAAATTTCTAGTGTATGTAAGAGGGTTTAGAATATTTCACAAACTCGGGTCATACTAAAGACAAGTGAAAAAGTAGTGCATGGCCGACCTAAAGAGCTCCTGTAATGTAAAAGGTTGGCAAAACAGATATTAGGAGATACAGGAAAAAGACAAACTGTACTAAGGGCTACAAAGGAGAGGAAGTTGTGGAGAGCCATAATCAATCACACCCTGAAGGCACACAGCACAAAGAAGAAGATAAACAGAACGTGTGAATAATGTAACGGTTACTGGCGCGTAATGTGGAAATGGTGAACCGGGTTCAAATTTCGATCCATTCAGTTTCGTTCTACCTGATATAGATTCAGAGCATTTATTATTATTATTAGTAGTAGTAGTAGTAGCAGCAGTAGTAGTAGTAGTAGTAGTAGTAGTAGTAGTAGTAGTAGTAACATTAACGGTATTGTAAAAGGAATTTTCATTATAAAGTACCGGCAACTTTCGAACTTAAGCAATTTCGAGTTGTTACGATCCTAAGTGGTAGACCGCTTGAGAAATACCAGGTGCTGTGGGCTTGGATGTGCGGGTGGTGTAATGGATAATAGCTCGCAATGAGAAATTGGAGGGCCGAGTTCCAATTCCAGTCGAGTTCATGATGTTCACTTACAGGCAAATACCCTTGAGAAAGATATGAATCCACCTCTTCTCTATCTCTTGTATCAAAAAATCATTATTATCTCCAAAACATTCTTACAATCCCAAAATATTTTCTAGCTTTAAATAACCTGCAAAAGGTTGATAAGCCATAAAAAAAACAAATCAATCTATCAATTATCCATCTGAAAACTATGGTAAAAAGGGACATAATTGAAAAGAAATACAAGAATTAGGTCAACACGACGCGGTAATGGCTCATCCCCCACCCTGAATCACAGAGATGGAAAGATATGGGGAAGGTCTTTGTAATGTACTGCTAGCTAGCTTTAAATATTACATGTTTTCCTGAATATACTATGATGCATTCAGGGTGCGTCTATATGCGCCTTGTTTGATTTTTACGGTAAATATTTGTCGTTTAAAATAAATGTATTGGCAATCATTACGTTATGGATTTATTGATGTATTTGTGTACTTGCATAAACTTTTAGATAGTCTTGTATTAGGTTGGTGCAAAAATAATGACGTAATAATGTCGTTTTTTGACGTTAAAAAATACGTCAAAAAACGACATTATTACGTCATTATTTTTGCACCAACCTAATAGTTAAATATTTAATCCCTGATAAAATATAAAGAAGAGTATGATTGTTCCTTCCCTGGCATCTCGACTTCAGATACTTTCCAACCACACAAAGGCAACTTACCTGTGCCTTTTCTATGAATACTTTAGATGCTACGACAGTTGCGTACTAGAGAATTGCGTCCCTGAACATGTGCATCCCTAGACAAATGCGTCTGTTGTGGGGCTCTCCCCTTTTTACATAAGATAGACTCGTCCAAAGTATACTTATACTGACAGAGAGAATAACTGCTGTTGATATAAGTCGAGATACAGTCTCTGACTGTGTCCGACGTCTGTCGAACTCTCTGATATGACAGAGAGGAACCCGGACGAAGCTTTGCCGAAGGGCAAGGTTTCGTCCGGGGAGGCAGACAGGCCTTGAACCCGTCTAGGCGGGTTCAAAGGGTATATTTTTGGCCGAGCCTACGGGCTCGGAGAAACCCACTTTAAACTCGGCCTTTTGCCACATATATTCCTCGTGGGTGGAATGTTAAATACCGAGATACGTCGAGATACGTTGAGACAGGTTGAGAGATACGGAGACAGACACAGGTTGTTCTCAGAGAGTTATACAAGAGTCCAGAGAGAGAGAGAGAGAGAGAAAGAAAGAAAGAGAGAGACAGAGAGAGATGATTACGGCTTTACTTACAGAGACTTGTACATATACTTTCTACTAACCCGCATTCCTGGACTACTAATCTTCACTTCAAGTCTGTATTCTTACGTTTAATACACTTATTTTTCTATCTCAATTACTGGCGTAGTTTATTTATTTGTGCAGGATTCCATTCACGGAATCCACAACAGCGTCCCTGGATAATTACGTGCCTCTGATAATTATTTGAAGCTTTTAAAGGCAATTACCATGAATTTCGAAAAAAATGCATATGTAGTAATCATAAATTTTAAAAAAAGGAGAAAAAAAATGAAAAGTTTATTTTTGTTTAAAATACAATGACAGATTAACAGTCTTTGCAAAACCGCTCTACACAACGCCAGTATGTTTTGTTTCATCGGCGTTTTTCATATGATAATGGTAGCTGTAATTTTCCTCGTCCACGAATATTTCTTCACCGGTGTTTGATTTTCGGAACTTAGCCATGGGTTTCCAAATAAAAATATAATCTATAAAATCCAGAATCTATTAGATGTTTGTGGTACGTACTGCTGGAGTGAACTGAAACTGCTAGCTTAATTTTCTCTTGCTTTAAAAAAAGAAATGTCTCTCTCTTTTTATTTATGGTAACTACCTTTCTCTTTGTTTAGAGTAATTAAAGGTATTGGTGTACAAATTTCTATATTAAACAACATCTTGAAAAGAAATTGTAACTTTAATAATTTATCAGAGGTAGGCAATTATCCAGGAACGCATTTGTCTATGGACACAAAGGTCCAGAGATCCAATTGCCTGGTACACAATTCTCCGAGACGCAAATGTCCAGTACGCACCTGTCTACCCACCCATATCTTCATGGTAGTTGTTATAATGAGCTTTCGTACAGAGGCTTTAGGATTTTAAGCATAATACTAGATTGGGGGCAAGGTCTCATTATTTTGCACTTAACATTGTTCGTTATCTACTGTCTTCTTAACTCATTTTCTTTTACTGTTCTCTCTCCTGAACCTGCAGAAGTTTGAAGGAGATTTGCATATTTCCTCTACAGATCGAGCAGAGAATTCAAATTCTTTAGGAGAGTCACTAAGCAAGAAGAAACGAGGGACGAAATTTGAGGTTCCAGATGCATCGTAGGCCGAAGCTCGATGGAATTCCTGGAAGTTGACACATTTTGCTCAGAGGTCAACAGAAGACAATCTTTGGAATGACGTGTTAGTTAAAGGAAAACGTAAACCCCACGAATATACACAGCCAAATTTTGATGTTAAGAAATTTAACAAAGACAAGTAAATTAGTTCGAACTGTATAACCGATAATGATTAAATATCTTCTATTAATAAGCTTCTCAAAAGCAATCTCCTTACATATATATATATATATATATATATATATATTAATTATAACATATAATTATATAATTATTCATTTAATATATAATTATATAATTATTTTTTTTTTAAATTATAACATAAATAGGTTATAAAATCACTACAAAAATAGCCATTTTGTTTCAACACTTCTGGTGTCTTATCAAGTGATGATGTTGAATGCAGAATATAGAATAAAGGTTTTAAAAGGTTCAAATTAATTAACCACCCCTCGTAAGGGGAAACGCTGTCACATGAGGTGAAATGATCAATCAAAATACAAGTATACAAGAATTCAAAAAATTTGACAACGAACTAAGGTTATAATAACTATGAAATGCTTTATAGTTAGGGTTATACTAAAATAGAATTTATTCTAACTAATAAGGATTAAATTGTACGATAACATTTGAAATTAAAATATACCTATTTCAAAAATGTAAATTTAATCTATATTAAGTTTAAAATTTTAAAATTATTGAGGAAAAAAGAAAAAATAAATATGTTTTTCTTTTCATTTTGTTTGTATTGAAATTTCCTTGGAATAAACGTTAAGATCGACTGCCCTTAACTTAATAACAACATGGATACAAGTGTAGACATGGGATTATGACATCTTGCGAAAGACAACACAAACACAATCAGATTATAATACATAAGCACGCAGACGTATTTAGATATATACACACAAAAAAAGTGATGAGACAGGTAATATTTGCACAACCTTTTACAAAAGAAAAATTAAACCACACACATACACAATGAAATGTGCATGCAATTTACTATACACAGACACCGAAAAAGATACGTACATATACCCACATGCATTGACTCTCTGATATAACACTCAAGAAATATTCAAGATTGAAGGTGTTATTAAACGAATTCTAACCACATATTAAAATATAACTTATACGGGCCAATATACATAGATAAAAATGGTCTAATAGAACAGAGAAACAAACAATGGGTAAAGAATGGACATTAAAATAGATATATACGTATAAAAATAACACAATCTAATATATAAAAAACGAAAATTCCAAACACGCATATACGCCTAATTGTACATTAGGTGAAAGAAAATAAGAACTACCTACAAATATATGTGTACACACACACATCACTTCATCATATATATATATATATATATATATATATATATATATATATATATATAGAGAGAGAGAGAGAGAGAGAGAGAGACCGAATATGGATAGGAATCCGACAAGACGATAGGATAAAAATCAAGTAGGAAACAGATCTCAATCTAACGTCTCACTTTATTAAATCTTCGTCAGAGATTAAGATAGAAATGATGAAAAGATATAAAAAGCAAACAGATGAGGGTTAATGATATGCTGTGTTTGCTTATTTCTTATAGGTTGAATAAATGTCACGTATAATGAAGTCACTGATAAAATTCAGATATATGTGAGAAACATTCTGGATGCTAAACTATTTAAAAGTTAGTGTCACGCAGTAAGATGTTTTGAAAAAAAAATTAGCTTCATTACACGTGACACGTATCTAACCCAATAAGAAATAACCAAACACAACATATTAATCTGAGTCTCTTTGCTTTTTATCATGTTTTTAAAAATTTCTATCTTGATCTCTGACGAAGCTTTAATAATGTGAGACATATTAGATTATGATCACTTTCCTACTTGTTCTTTATCCTATCATATATATATATATATATATATATATATATATATATATATATATATATATATTGAAGAATAAAAATTAAAATCTTCAGACACACTGCGTTGTAGATTAATATTCTTTCGTTTTTATTATTATTATTTCATTTAGATTCCTTGACTAGTTTCGGCCAAAATGGCCATCATCGGGAGGAGAAATATTTCTGCTTGCTGGTAGCAGTAAACTACAGAAATGAATGTTCTGATGGGGAAAATGAACTTTTGTCTGTAGTTTTCATTTGTTTTTTTAATTTTAATTTTTTTTTATCTTTTTAACATGAACCTTTTTTATATATATATATATATATATATATATATATATATATATATATATATATATATATATATATATACGGTGTAACAACAAAATTGTTCGAATCCTATTAAAGCAAATTTGTCCAATTGTTAGATTAATTTTAAACCTTTGTATCTTAGAAATGATTAAACATATCTTACTGGAATTCTCCGAGGTTTTTATAACACGATTTGTTTGACTCTACTTTGAGCAATAAGAATGTATAATTACTCTCCAAGCTTAACAGAAGAATCGTGATGAAATTGATCATAAACGAATATGACCTGTCCATCATTAATTATTTATAGCTAAGTATCGGAAGATTATGAAGGATTGAAATAACGTTAATATATATATATATATATATATATATATATTATTCCAAGATCATTTTCCAACATATTTGAGATGATCCTCGCCCTCTCTAACCTTCTAAGTTTCTTCCCTGGAGTAAAAATATGCCTCAAATTTCACATACGATTTCCATTTCAAGACTTTTTTCACTGCTCTGCGGACTGTCATGTGTGAAACTCCTCTCTCATGTGACAAACGTCTTATGGATTGAGTTGGATCTTTTCTAATGGGTTTCTTTAGCTCTAAGTTGAAATGATGATCCCTTTTCCTGTTGTGACCACATGATCCAGTTTTCCTCGCTCCTGTCCCCCTTTTTAAACTTATTCACCCTTCTCTCGATGGTTCTTGAATGAACTTTGAAGATGGAAGCCAGTGTACGAATGTTAAATACCATTACTAAAGGCCTGAATGATCCTTTCCTCTCACCATTTCTCAGTTAAGAAGAGAGTGGGGCTGACACAAAACGATTTTAACTTGTTCTATTTCTAGCTGAATAACTAAAAAGTTTTTTTCTGTGGTTCTTAAGAAAAATGGTATCAAGATGGCTAAATGTGTTATCTGAAATCCTGGGAAAAAAGAAACTCAATTAGTTTAGAGTTTTTAGATATTAAACATTTTGTGGGATAGCCAATTATGCTGTAACACGATTTGAACAATTTTGCTGTTCATATATATATCTATATATATCTATATATATATATATATATATATATATATATATATAAATTCGATACATTTTGTTACGTTTTTTTTTTTTTACTGAAATTAACATATTAGAAACAAAATACTGAGAGATTTTATTGAATTTTGGTTGGAAATTTGTATTCTATATATTAACCTTAGTTTTGAATTTTTTGTTTTACCTAAAATTAATAAAACTTTTTTTTTCTTTAAGAAATTTCTCATTTCCCTGATCGCATTCCTTAAAAGCAAAATTAAGTTAAAGAAAATTTCTATTATTAAGCAAAGAAAAAAAAGAAATTATCAGATTTCCCATGGCATCCGAGAACAACCAAAGATTTATCATTTTTATGTCGAAGGATGGGGAATGAAAATTCAATATTCAATTTTTATTTAATTTGGCTTTAGTTATTTTTGTAGCCTTCCTTATTTTGTTAGCTTCATTTTTTTTTCTCGGCTTCCTTTTTTCTTCCTTCTATTGTCATCGTCCTTTGTCGTCTTCCATTTTTTATGTTCTCTTATTTTTGTCTTCCTTTTAGTTAGTATTTACATTATTGAGATTGTTAATATTTACACTATTTACATTTTGTTCGCGCTGTTGTCATATTCACCAACTTTAAAGCATTCAATAGTTATTATAAGCTTACTTCGTTGTCAAGTTTTTTTAATTCTCATATACTTGTATTTTAATTGGTCATTTCAGCTTATGTAACAGCGTTTCCCCTTACGAGGGGTGGTTAATTAATTTGAATCTTTTAAAACATTTATTTTACAATCTACATTCAACATCATCACTTGATAAGATACCAGCGGTTTTGAAACAAAATGGCTATTTTTGTAGTGATTTTATAACATATTTATGTTATAATTTTTAAATAAATAATTATATATATATATATATATATATATATATATATATATATATAAGGAGATTGCTTTTGAGAAGCTTATTAATAGAAGACATTTAATCATTATCGGTTATGCAGTTCGAACTAATTTCCTTGTCTTTGTTAAATTTCTTAACATCAAAATTCGGCTGTGTATATTCGTGGGGTTTGCGTTTTCCTTTAACTAACACGTCATTCCAAAGATTGTCTTCTGTTGACCTATGAGCAAAATGTGTCAACTTCCAGGAATTCCATCGAGCTTCGGCCTACGATGCATCTGGAACCTCAAATTTCGTCCCTAGTTTCTTCTTGCTTACGATCCGGCCATCTTCAGGCGAATCGGAATTTCGAACCGAACCCTTTATTTCGTCCATCTCGGCAGATTGTTCTAGTTCCACGTACCATGCCTCTCCCGGGTATTTCAGTTTCAGTTATCTCCCTTTAATAACTCAACACTCCAAGTTTTTTGTTCACTTATGCTGTGGCCAGGTATTGACAACTTTCATTCAAGTCAATAGATTACTTGACCCAATGCTTTTTTTCAATGGACATGTGTCCTTGAATTTTTGAAACTTATACACCTAATCTCTCAGCAATCATTTTTACCAGAGCTCATATTACAATTTGTTGTTATTATTGTTTTTCTGTTTCTTTTATTATTTACTGGTTCCCTTATTGTATGCCTATGCCTAGCCTGATTTTTGTGGCCTAGTATAGGCGCTGATCTTTTATATCCGGGAGAGGTATGGCACGTGGAGGTAGAATCATCTACCCTGGTGGACGAAATAGGGTTCAGTTCGAAATTCCAATCAGCTGGCGAGGCCCGGAGTGTACAACGGCTGAAACGCTGTGAATATGACAACAAAGACTAGGACAACAGTCGAAAAAATGTAAATCGTGCAAACAGATATAATACCTCGTCTCAGAAATAGTGACAGATATTCCTTTTTGTTGTTTTCCTTTTGCTGTCCTCCATTTTTTTTTTACTGTCTTCTTCCTTTTCCTGTCACTTTTCTTTTACCTCTTCTCATCTGCTGATTTCGTTCTTCTGTCATCGTTCTTCTTGTCTCATTTTCTCGTCTTTTTCTCGTCTTGCTTTTTTCTTTCAGTGTCCTTTTGTGATTCTCCTTTTATGACATTTTTATTATATTGTCGACTTTCTTTTCCTGTCGCCTTCATATGTTGTCGTATTCATTTTTTATCCTAAGTTTTTTTGTTCTTTTTTCACCATTTACCATAATGTTTTTTTCTCCCGCTTTCTTCCTTTGTTGTTTCTTTTTCTCGACTTCTTTTTTTTGGCATCTTCCTTTTTTAGCCTTCTTCCTTTGTTGTTTCTTTTTCTCGACTTCTTTTTTTTCATCTTCCTTTTTTAGCCTTCTTCCTTTGTTGTTTCTTTTTCTCGACTTCTTTTTTGGCATCTTCCTTTTTTAGCCTTCTTCCTTTGTTGTTTCTTTTTCTCGACTTCTTTTTTGGCTTCTTCCTTTTTTAGCCTTCTTCCTTTGTTGTTTCTTTTTCTCGACTTCTTTTTTGGCATCTTCCTTTTTTAGCCTTCTTCCTTTGTTGTTTCTTTTTCTCGACTTCTTTTTTTGGCATCTTCCTTTTTAGCATTCTTCCTTTGTTGTTTCTTTTCTCGACTTCTTTTTTGGCATCTTCCTTTTTTAGCCTTCTTCCTTTGTTGTTTCTTTTTCTCGACTTCTTTTTTTGGCATCTTCCTTTTTTAGCCTTCTTCCTTTGTTGTTTCTTTTTCTCGACTTCTTTTTTTTGCATCTTCCTTTTTTAGCCTTCTTCCTTTGTTGTTTCTTTTTCTCGACTTCTTTTTTTTGGCATCTTCCCTTTTTAGCCTTCTTCCATTGTTGTTTCTTTTTCTCGACTTCTTTTTTTTCATCTTCCTTTTTTAGCCTTCTTCCTTTGTTGTTTCTTTTTCTCGACTTCTTTTTTTCATCTTCCTTTTTTAGCCTTCTTCCTTTGTTGTTTCTTTTTCTCGACTTCTTTTTTTCATCTTCCTTTTTTAGCCTTCTTCCTTTGTTGTTTCTTTTTCTCGACTTCTTTTTTTTCATCTTCCTTTTTTAGCCTTCTTCCGTTGTTGTTTCTTTTTCTTACATTCTTCTTTTGTCAATTTCCTTTTTTCAGCCTTCTTCATTTATGTTTTTCTAGCCTTCTTTTTTGTCATCTTCCTTTTTCAGCCTTCTTCATTTATTGTTTCTTTTTCTCGACTTCTTTTTTGGCATCTTCCTTTTTCAGCCTTCATTATTGTTTCTTTTTCTTTCACTTTTCAGCCTTCTTCATTTATTCTTTCTTTTTCTCTTCTTTTTTTTTACTTC